GCTTTCTGAGCATTTGAAAAATGACTCTTATAAAGCAGGAAAAGCTGTAAAAAAAATCTAACCTCTTCCAACTAGCAATCTGATAGCCAGCTGGGTCTTCCTCAGCTCAATTAACTGCAGGATTGTTACTGTGGGTAAAATAGGAAGGAGCATTATGTATGCTGCCTTGAATGGTACAGAGATATTGTGTCAGCTTCTGTTGATTTAAGGATTCAGTGAAGCATTAATTTTTACAAGGGATGCCTAAAGTTTTGCATGTACTGTTAAGTGCACCATGGATATATTTCAGATCTAATCACAATTCTATATATTGAATCTGGCCCTGGATGTTAACCCAAGATTGACTTTTTGATTGCTTTTAAACCTTTCTCAGCCACCCTGCAAAGGTAAAAGACAAAACATATTCTGATTTACCTGGTCGATCAAATATTTTATCACACTTAGGACACTGCAAACATTTTTTGCTGCTGTTCTGAAGAATAGGTGGAATACATGTGGAAAGATTATCTTCAGAAATATTTCCTGCTGGACCTTCTGGCTCATGGACCTCTCCACCACATTCTTTTTCACTGTGTTGTTCAGACTCAGTATCATCTCCCAAAGTGTCCTCTTCCTGCCCATCAGTGTTGTATTCACTTCCACTGTTCTCGGATTCATTGCTCTCCTTATTAGCAGCAATTGTATCTAAATTGGTATCTGATGCATTGCCACTTTCATTGTCACTCTGATCAAACTTGGCTGGGCATTTACGATTTCGCACTGATCGTCTAGTACAAATCCCTGACTTCTCAACCATTTTTAGCCCATGTTCTTTTTCCCGTGCAGAAGATTTGTGTGCTTTGGACAAATGATTTTCTAATGATTTCTTGTAACAAAAATTACGATTGCATAAAGTGCATTGATGATTGTTGGCTATTTTAGGTGTTTGTTCAATTGTCTTTTCTATCCGAGATGGGTTTTTTGTTTTCTTTTCAGTTTGTGAAATGGAAACATTTTCACTATTTAGCAATTTAACTGCATCAATAATATCTAAAAATTTTGCTGCTTCTAAAATTAAAGGTATTTCATTTTTATTTAAGAAAAACTGTGATGTGTAAAGAAACTCAAGCAGATGATGGAAAACTGAATGTGTTACATGATCCAAGGTAATAACATTTGTATTTGGATTTTTGCTCAAATAAGCATGAAAGTAACTGCTCCCAACAGCAACTACTACTTTATGGGAGCTAAATTCTTTTCCATCAACAATTATAAGAAGATCACAAAAAGACGTCTGCTTCTGTCGATCATCATTTAAATATTTAAGTAGATTTTTATTGTATTGCAAAGAAGTTAAAAGCTTTCTTTGATCAGACAGCAGAGAAAGTTCTTTGGAATATACGAGCTGGTCTGCAGTAGCAACTTCTGCAGGATCAACATGAGCTTCCTGTTCAGAGTCTGTTACAGGAATCTTATCAGTTTGCTCCCTTGGGTGACCAGGATGTATTTTGTCATCTACATTTACATTAAGCCTTCTTCTCTTCTTCATTGCAATTGTGCCACGTTAAAATCAGAACTGTTATCAATAAGCCAAACTTTTCCAAACAAATAGTTGCTTCAGTGATACTTGAAGTTATGACCTGCAAATGGATCAAATAGTTTTCTTTAAAACTAATGAAAAAAATTGATTCATTCCAGTTTAACACCAGTTAATTTACTTCCACATTTGATGAGGTCCTACGAATTGGCATCCACCCTCTCTTTCTAGAAAGCAAAAATTCACCTTGAATTGAACCAAAACATTTAAGTCACATGCATGATATCAAATTGTAAATAGTACTTATTCCTTTATTTGTCAACAGAAGTAATCAGAAAAATAGACAAGAAAAGCTGTTGTACCAGGAAGCATTTAGATCCGTCTCCAGCTGCATCATCTCTTTCAAATGTTGCCACTAGTAACATTATTCAATGTACCTTGGACTGCAAGGTGATCAATTTGTGTGCCATTCATCTCATCAGAGTAATATTACTCTGGGCTGCTTACAAATATTAAAGCAGTAGGACAATAAATAAAAACAATACTGTTAAAAGATGGGGAGGAGGGGAACATGAAGCATATGGGGAGAGGTGAGTTCTTTCCTAACCCAATAGCTACCTCCAAAAAGGGATACCCCACTGGAGCCCCAGGTCAACTGGCAGAACCAGATCTTCAGGCTCTTATGGAAGATCAAAAGAGTGGGTGCAGATCTCACCTTGAAGTGTATGAGGCAGGAGCCATAGCAGAAAAGGCTCTTCTCCTGGACCTCATCAGTCAAAAATTCTTGACTAGTGGGGTCTGCAGCCTGCCTGCTCTACCAGTACTGGTAGGGCGAGCCAATCCCATTGGGATAGGATGGCTCTTCAGAAAACGGGCCGAGCCATGAAGGGCTTTAAAGGTGATAACCAACCTGTTGAACTGCAACTGGAAGCAAGCTGGCAGCCAATGTTACACTGGAATTAGGGGTCCCAAGAACTGCTTGTGGTGCTGCATCCTGCACTGATTGTACCTTCCAAATACTCTTCAAGGGTAACCCCATGTGGAGTGCATTGAAATAGTCCAGGCATGAAATGACCAGGGCTTGAATGCACAAAGATATTTATTTTTATTCACTGCAGAATAAACAGTTGGTCACTTAAAAAGCAGTCATCTCTACTCACTGATCTGTTTGACTAGTTATAATTGCCCAAGACATATACAAATGAGTATATGACTTAATTCTAATCCTTTTTCTTGTACTTAAAAATTAACATATGCAAGCAATAAAATGGAGTGCATAGATTTATCACCAAGAGAGAAAGTTGCAAGAGAGCTAATAAGCAGTAAATGTGAATAGTATCACATATCTTGCTAAACTATGATTTAATACATATTAAATTATTAAACCACAATTAGTGGGTTTACACATGACTCATCAAACAAATCAACCCAGACTTATCCCTTGAGGCACAAATTACCAATAATAATTATCAAATTATTCTACTCATGTACACATTACATGAAGATCTAACTCTCTGGAGAAAACTCTAATGCTGGGAAAGATGGAAGGAAAGAGAAAAAGAAGATGACCAGCAGCAACATGGATGAACTCAATTGAAGTGGCAATGACTGCATCCTTGGAAAACCTGAAATACCTGGTTAAGAAGAGATCATGGATAAAATCTGTGTCTATGCTAACAGCTGCAATGATTTGATGGCCCATAATAATATCAAAGTAATAACTATGCTTTACAAACAAGGGCTGGGTTCACACAACCCAGAACCAAAGAAACTACCTTATAATTTAGTGTGTTATGTGAACCAACTTAGTCATTCCTTATAAGGAAGACTCAGTGTATAAAAACAGCTGTTTCTTTTTTCCAGGCTGCAATTGTTATTTCCTCTATTCAGGTTCTTTTGCTCTTTTGCTTAAATGCTATTGCTCTAGGTCTAGAATACCACCCAGACAGCATGTTACCATGACTGCTCAACTGTTATTATTACCTGCCCCTCACATAACTGCTCGTTTTTTCTCCTTTTCAGTGTTTTAGCTAATGCCTTTTGTCTGCACAATTCCAGAAACATAGCCTTAGCCACATAAAGGAATGGGAACATGTTCACCATCATCCTCACCCTAGATATTATTGGTCCTATCTTCCCTGCTATGCTTAGATGAGCAAGTGAGATGTGATAGATGGCCTTAAACAAGCAAAATCAGCCTTATCTGCAAGTAGCTGCTCCTTTGCTCTTTCTTTCAGTGGGTGATGAACATAATACCCGGCCCAACTGTCACATTATTAGTGTAAGGAGCAGATCAGAGAGGAAGCAACTTCCATCACAGTCCTCTAGGACAGCTGTCACAAACTTGTGGTCTGTGGACCACTGGTGGTCCGCGAGAAAATTTTGGTGTTCCGCAGAAAAATTATTTGCATTTTTTATATTATATTTATCTTTTTTAAAAAAAAATCATATTAGTGGTCCGCAGGATTTAAAATTATGATTTTAGTGGTCCCTGAGGTCCGAAAGGCTGGTGACCCCTGCTCTAGGAAGCAACTTGGACAGGAGGGGAAAAAAAAAAGGCTAGCGGGACTGTTTTAAGTTTTATCCTTCCTGGGCCTAATCCTTCCTTCCATTGTGCTAGCAGAGATTGAGAAAGGCGGCAGGAGCGTAAAAACATTTTGTTTAGCCTGCATACCGATGCAACACAACGGGAGAGGGAAGAAAAGGGGGGGGGTGGACGGGCTTCAAGGGACTTCCACACGAGGGGAACCCTCTCCATCGCTGCTTCCCCGACCTCTGTCGCAGGGTGGGCGGCAGAGGAAATTGCCAGGTGCCTTTCCTTTCTCAACGAGGTACTGACAGCGTCCCCCTTTCCTTCACCACCACCCACAACAACCTTTAACCATGATCCGGCCTTCAAGGCTGATAAAACTAGGTTTAAACTAGATTTAACAGGTCAGATTCGCTCAGAAGCGGCCAGCAAATTAAAGCCGAGCCTCAGGCACGTCGGACTGTCGCCTCCCTCTTCAAACCACCCCCACCCCCGACCGGGATGGCGAGAGTAAAACTGCGCCCCTCGGAAACCCCCTGAACCCACCCGGCCTCCAACGAGGGGAGGAGCCTCTTACCTACCTTCCTCCCCTCGCCGAGGAAAGGGGCAAATAACGGTCCCAGGCGCGCGCTCTGGGAAAACGCGCTTCTTCCCCATTTGCCGTCGCCAGGCCGGCCTCCAGATTCCGAAAGGCAGCCGTGGCAAAAAAGAGGAAAGAAAAAAAAAATCCCCCCCCCCCCCCCAAAAAAAAAACACCAAAAACAAAAAAAAAAAACACCCCACCGTCGCGCACCGTTAACCCCCCTCAGGTTTCGCCATCACTTCCGGGTTCCATGCAGGAGGGGGGGAGAGTGGGTGAGTAAAGGGTGACGTCACTCAGACCGAGTTTTTTTGACAGGAAGCTGGGCAGGTTTGTCGTTCCGGCTCTATGGCACGTGGGTGGAAAAAGGAGGCGGAGCAAGAGGAAAAACGGAGGGATGGCGAATACGCGGGGAGTTTTTTTTTTCTCTTTGCCCTCCGGCTCCCAATGGGCGTTTGCGGAATGTTCACTGCAAAACCGTCAGCCGCCCCAGAAGCGAGTACTACTGTAATAACAGCGGTGCCCAACCTTTTCCGACTTGGCGGATCGGCGGCGACAGCAGCGGCGGGGTGGGGCGGAGAGATGAGAGAGGGGATGGTTCTGCAAAGGCAGCGGTCGAGCGCGCTCGCAGCTCTTATTTGCGCAAATGGACCGCGGTTCAGAACGGAGCGCGGTCCCGCCGGGACCCCTGATTTATGTTAACGATAAGTGACTGGTATGTTTTGTGTTAAGTCACAGTAAATTGGCCTTATGGGTATTTTGACAAGATAAGTTTCTATTCTCTAGTCCCAGAAATAAATGACTTTGATAAACGTTCAAAGAGAACCAAGTTTTTTTTAAAAAGGGAGGGGCCAAACATTTGAGCACGGATTCCAAATCACCACGAATATTTCCAAGGTTTATTTATTTACTAACATAAATAAAATTTCGGGAGGCTTTCAAGAAAAAAGATCTTTTCCAGACGGCATTGGTGGCTCTTCACTGGCAATTCAGACGGGGGAAAAAACGATTTCCGAACTTATTTCAGGATGAAGCTGGAGCAGAAGGCGGACTTAAGCAGAATAAACAACCGAAAGAAGAGTGTTTATATGGAGATTCTCAAGTCATCTAAGTCGTGGTTGTCCCAAAGGTGCTTTTTCTAGAGGCAACTGGACTTTGTTTTTTTCTTTGAAGACATTCTCATCCAGGAAGCTTCTTCAGCTCTTGAATGGATGGTGGGGAATGGTGGGATCCAGTCAGAGCTGGAGAAGCTTCTTGGATAAGAAGCAAAACGTCTTCAGAGAAAAAACCAGAAAGTCCAGTTGCCTCTTGAAAAAACACAATTGGAACAACCGAAACAAGACAAGTCATTTTCTCGAGAGAGAGAGAGACGGTTTTAAATTGAGCGCTCGCTTTGTTACTGATGCATTACATGATGAGTTCGGCAGTATTGAAGTGGGAAAAAGGCATGAAACCAGGATGGCAAAAAACAAAACCAAACATCTCAAGCTATTGGTCGAATCTTTGTTCAGAGCCGCTTGGCGATTGGAGGAAAAAAAAATGTTACGTGACAACTGGCTGCGGTTTTGTTTTTTTTTGTCAATCTCCCCTGATTGGCGGAGGCTGCTTGTTTGAATTCTCGAACGGCGGTTGCGAATCCGATTTTTTTGCGGGGGGAGGGGGAAGGAATTTGTGAATTCATTTCGGACGGGCGAAGAGCCTTCTGGTTGTCAACGGGACACGTTGACGACGGTCGTTTCCCCCGTATGGACGAAAGAAGGCAGGCTGTGGGACCAGCCGGGCTTCAGGAACCGTGTCCTCCGGAGCGGAGCAAGCGCAGCGCTGCCTCCCCAGGCTGCGAGGATGGAAACGACGCCGTGCTATTACTCGGCCACTTCTCCCGGCCTCCCTTCCTCAGTTTCGGCTCTGTCCGCGTCGGTACTTCGTGCGTTCGCCGCCTGGCCGTGGAGAACCCCAACGCAGAGGCTATCCACGGGGCCGTCTACCGCCCGCCGCCCGCCTCCAAAGGCTTCACGGTGCAGCAGGACGGTTTCCTCCTTCAGGTGCTTTTTTTTTTTTAAGCAGGGGAAGGCGAGGCGGCGATGTGGTCTGGGAGGGGTCTGCTCAAATGCTAATGCTGAGGTCTAAGCCGAAGGCGGACGGTTGTTAACGTTTATGTAGCATTGGTAGCCTGAAAGATTGCCCGGTATGCAGGGACGGTTAAATGTCAACGACAAATGTAGCAATACTCCGCACTTATTTGTAGGTTTTGCTCCATAAATTTCAATTGATCAGGGACTGAATAATCTTCAATTTATGGATGCCGTCTGCTGATGCTCTCCCAAAATCCTACTTATTTTTAAAGGGTGTGGTAAATTAACTTCTTGTTTACTGTTTCTAGGAAAGGGAACCTTGGGGTATGTTAATGGTTAATAAATGTATAGCCTCCCCAAACGAGGCTCCTTCTATGAGGATGGTTTTTTGCTGGATGTAAACTTCATGAATACAGGTAGTCCTCGACTTACAACGGTCTGGTTAGTGACTGTTCAAAGTTAGAATGGCATTGAAAAAAAGTGACTTACCACAGCTTTTCACACTTATGACCTTTCCAGCATCCCCATTATCATCTGATCAAAATTCAGATGATGGCAACTGATTCATATTTAGGACTGTTGCTGTGTCCCAAGATCATGTGATCACCTTTTGTGACCTTCTGACAAGCAAAGTCAATCGGGAAGTTTGTTACTAAATTTTAAACTAAATTTTGGGGCTTAGTTGTGGTTGTAAATCAAGGACTACCTGTACTTATTTATTTTATTTATTTATTTAATCAAATTTCTATACCGCCCTACTCCCGAAGGACTCAGGGCGGTGAACAGCCAAGATAAAATACAGATAATACAAATATTAAAATATTACTTCTTATATTAGGGCTTGTTAAAAGAATTTTTCGGATCCCTTTTCCAAGCCGGAATAAAAATAAGATGCAAGGTATCTGGCAGGTGAAAAGGAGATCCATTTATTCCCCAAAGCAAAGAGGCTTGTTCTTGGTGGTAGGCTGCAGAGAAAATGGGCTACTTTTATAGGGCTACTGGTCCTTGGTGTGGACTTAGAGAAGGCGGGAGTATATATATGAGCTGGTTCTAGTGCTTCAGTGTATCAAAATGTCAGTCTTAATTAGTATCTGTTGACTTGCCTTTTGCTGTGTCTGGACAGCCTATTTGTGGATATGGGGAAGGTGATTGAATAGGTTCTTGATAATTTTTGCTCAGGTACTTGGTTTTACTATTGTCAGTTGATAGCAGAGGTGCAATTTGCCAATTTCCCATAGTTTCCAGTCTCAGTGAATCATGGATTTGTGTTGACTAAGAGATAATTGTGGTGTAAAGAATATATATAATTATGATTATTAAAATAAAATACTTTACAGAGACTAACAGTTAACATGAACATTTAACAGTTAACACGAACATGCAATTTGGTGTGTGTGGGGAGGGGTTGCCTTCAACTCAGTATTGATTCCTGCCCACTACTTGGGCAGAATGGATGGATACAGTGCGTGCAGTTTTATTGGCAAGATTTCAGAAGTTTACCATTGTCTTTTCCTAGGCTGAACAAGAGTGACTGACCCAAGCTATCTTAGTGCCTATTGACTAGAATTCATGGTTTCCCAGTCTCTAGCCTGATGACTAAACCATTTACACCAAAGTGGTTTTTACTATACAACTTAACTTGTAATATCAGATATTGAGAGTAAGAGTCAAAAGTAGGTCTATCTATTTTTCTAGCTAGAATGTAGTACATAGTTACAATGATGAATCTCCAAAAGCTAAGCAGTTTTTGCATGGATAGAAATCTGTCAGAAAATCTCACTACAATGGGAGAAAAGTTGGGAAGTTGAAAAAAATGTGAAGAAGGCAATGTCATAATACCATTTCTGCATATAATATTGTCAAGAAAACTGCTATACATATGGTCTTTCTGTAACCTTGATCTTCACTTCAAGATGAAGAAAATCAATTTCAATTTGCTTATAGAAAAATCCTTTTTTCCTTCCTTTCCTTTTTCTCTTTGCCCTTGTTGGGAGAATTTCCCTGGGTTCCTTTCTTGAGCTGGGAGAGCATTAGCAGTTTTCCTGGGAAAGTATAACCATCCCCAAAATCAAGACGTGGAGTATGGCTGCTTTGGGGGCAACTGGCAACAGACTGGCCCACCAGCAAGTTTTTGATATGATTTTAAACCTTTGGTGAAAGACATGCTGTGAGGAAAATATATGGTTTTATGACTGGGAGAAAGAAAAAAAAAGGAAACGTGGCTTTCTATAGTTATAGGAAATATCCTTGTTATCTCCTTTATCAAAAAAGTTCTTCCTGGCCAGGGCATGGTGAAAAGAGCATGGGCATAGGTGTCAAAATTCCCAAATCTTTTAAGTGTTGATTCCAGGCTGCCTTTCAGGGTTCAATTGCCTTTAAGGACACATTCTAGATAAGGCTGTTAAAAGGCATGGTGGGGGGAACAGATCAGAAGCTTTTTAAACTGCTATCAACCTTTTCACAAATGTATATGTTAGTGGCTGGTAAATTATTTGAACTTTGGAGGCTTGTATAGGTTATTAAGAATTAAGTGTGCTTTTAGTGGTTTTTTTTTTCTTTTTGTAAACTAATGTTGTTACAAATATTATTTATAGAGCACAGTCTTGGTCTGAATTTATATGAGTACGTGGTATTATAAAGATATTAATTGTGACAAAGTTGTCAAGATCTTGTTTCAGAAGGCCTTTTTTGTTTTTGGAATTGAATGGCATAGAAATCAAATTTGCAGATGACACTAAGCTGGCAGGAATAGCCAACACCCCAGAAGACAAGTTCAGGATCCAAAAAGATCCTGACAGACTTGAACAATGAGCCCTTTCCAATAATATGAAATTTAATGTGGAGAAAAGCAAGGTTTTACACCTAGGCAGGAAAAACTAAAGATGTAAGTACAGAGTAGGTGAATCCTGGCTCAAAAACAGTAACCGTGAGAGGAGTCCTAGTGGACAATCACTTAAACATGAGCCAGCAGGGTCTTGGTTGTATAAATAGAGGCATAGAATCAAAAGAACGTGAAGTATTAGGACTGCTTTATAAAGCCTTTATAAGGCCACACCTGGAATACTGCATCATTTTGGTCACCACATTAAAAAAAGATGTTGGGACTTTGGAAAAAGTGCAAAGAAGAGCAACTAAGATGATTAAAGGCATGGAGACAAGAACATATGAAGAACAGTTGCAGGAATTGCATATGGGCAGTCTTAAGAAAAGAAGGACTAGGAATGATGGATTTTTAAAATTTAAATTGTATTTTAAAAATTTTTTATCATTTATTTTAATAAAATGATTTTTGAGTAAAAATCTATCTAAAGATAGTTTTCTATTTAAGATACATTAATAATTTAGTTTATTCATCATGAAATGGAGCTTATGTAGCATGGGGCTATATATTCTGCAATATTGGGTGAGTCAACAACAGGTCAGAGGAGGAGCCGCTGCGGGACAGATATGACAGTTGGTCTTTAAAAATTATGATTTAAATCGAGTTGATTCAAATCAAACCCACCCTATTCCTAACAGTAAGAACAATTAACCAGTGGAACAGCTTGCTTTCAGAAATTGTAGGGGCTTCATCACTGGAGGTTTTTAAGAAAAGTCTGGACAGCCACCTATCTGAAATGATACAAAGTCTCCTGCTTGAGCAAGAGGTTAAGCTAGAACAGGGGTCTCCAACCTTGGCAACTTTAAGCCTTGTGGATTTCAACTCCCAGAATTCCTCAGCCAGCAAAGCTCCAATTCTGGGAGTTGAAGTCCACAAGGCTTAAAGTTGCCAAGGTTGGAGACCCCTGGGCTAGAAGACCTCCAAGGTTTCTTCCAACTCTATTCCAATTGATTGATTTTGACATTTTGTTGCTACCTATTGGGAAACATTGTGCCATACTCGCAAAATATATAAGCATGATTTTATTCTCGTACAATATTTTAAAGAGCTATAATTTGACTATATTTAGGGCTACACTATGAAAGCCACAGTTCTGCTATGGAAAGCTCCTAAGTTTCAAAGCAAATTTGGAGATTGTACACAAAGCAAAATTTGATCTATTAGTGAGCCCTACTTTTCTGGAGAATGATACAATTAAATATACTCCTGGAATATAATTTTTAGCATTCAAGGAAATTAGGTTCATACAAGATTGCACTTGTAACTGGATATATTCATCATGTATTTGTCACAGACACCATGCCAACTGCTTGTTTCATGTTTTTCTTTTGCAGCCTGGAGAGAGGATCTCTATATTAATAACATGGACACCACTAGAAGGCGGCAAAGTTCGAGAGCTCATAACTTTTATTGTAAATGATGTTGTAAAACATCAAGCAGTTTTGCTGGGGAATGCTGAGCAACCTATAAAGAAAAAGGTAAGATGCTCTGTAGGAAAGCCCACCCCCCATCCTGAATAAAATATTCTTTATTCTTAATATTAAAAAGAGGCAGAATAGAATATTTTCCCTAAAGGAGGAGAAACATCTTAAAGGCAGAAAGCAGCCCCACTCTTCCTGCTATAGGAAAACAGTCTCAAGCAGAAGCCTGAAGAGGCTAGGCTTTACGAATGGATATTTTGTATCCATTCAGAAAGCTGGACCATGACCCCATAGGAATTTGGCAACAGCCATTAAAATATTAAAGGGCATGTTCTTGCACAGGAACATGCATCTCAATCACAAAGTCCAAAGAATGTATAAAAGCCCACCTACTCTCTCTCAACCCTTTTTATCAGCCACCCCAGAAACATACTGCTGTAATTGGTTCCTGGCTACCAAATAAATAGAGACCTCCTTTCCAAAATGCAGCCTGCCTCCAGTTCATTTCTACAATGTCCTTCTCCCAGTTTGAAACAGAACCAGATTTTTCTTCCAACAGCTCTTTAAAATCTTTCTTGTTCTGATTTTTTAATAAAGTCAGTCTCTTCATTTGCAGGCAGGATATCCATTTATGTAATAAGCTTTTCTGCATAAATTGTTAGCATATTTGAAAAGGCATGTTTGGTTTTATTGAAAGCACAAAATCATATACCAATGTAATTAACGACGCAGAAATGTCATAGGTCTATGAGTTTTATAAATATTTAAAGTCTCCACAACACTTACATCTGCTATATACGTATTCTTGTCTGTCCTCTAAAATTTTGAATATAGCTCCCTTGGTTTTAAGCATCTTGAATTTCCCCCAACATTGGATTCAACAAAATGAAAAAATAGCTATTGTAAATAAAATATGCAGTAGAGATACAAACATAGTAGAGTTAAAATGTTGCAATCCTGATGCCAATTTTAAAAATGAGAATCAGTGTTCCTTTATATTTATTTCTAAATATGTCAGGAAGTATGAGCTTTTAATTTTATAGGGAAAATAAGGAAAAGTATAATACTTGCCTATGTGTATTTAATGTCATTTCAGAAAAATCTTTGGGATACTATTAAAAGAAGAACACCTGCACAGCAATCACGAAAAAGAGTGCCAGTCATTAAAAATATAAATAAAACATTTCAGATGTCTGAAAAAATAGAGAAAAATAGAAGCCCTCTTCAGTCTTGTGAGAATCTGGAAGTGAATTCAAACAGAATTTCACCTAATGGAAATTCCTTAATCATTTCCGAACATAACCTATCTCTTTCCCCTATTAGTCCCATCAGTCAGAAAAACCAACATGTCATTTATACTCCCCTATCAACTACATATTCTGTTCCAGAAGCACCAGCATGTCTTAAGTTATTAAATAATGTAACAGAAACCCCTACTGTTACAACTCTATATGATAATGTTTTGGAAAAAAAGAAAGTATGCCAACATAATATTATTAACTCAGCAGAAATGAATGCAAAATCCATTGGTACACCAGAACAATTGAATATATCTTTGAATCATAGGAAGATTTTAAGTCCTGATTCTTTTATAAACAATAGTTATGAAGTGACAGAAGATGCAGCTATAGCAATACCTATTCTTTCGCCTGATCAGTTTTTAAGAGAAAATCAAATGGTTATTCAGCCAAACTCAGAATGTAAAACAGTATCCTTTTCTTCAGATGTGAAATCATGTATGTCAACAGCAAAATTTTTGAAACAGAAAGAAAAGGTGCAAGTTTCCTTTTTTATGGAACCTCAGCTTTCCACCAAAGCTCCCAGCAATATAAATGAAAGAAATCCTACAACACATTGCTATGATAAGATTGAACAAAATGTCAAATCCAAGGCAAGTGATCAAGTTTGCTGCCTTCAGAACAAAAAAAAGCCTTTGCTTTCTAGCACTGTTATCAAAACTAAACCTAATCCTGAAGGAAAAGAAACAAAGATGTTAAAACTAAAATCTAAAAAAAGTCTTTCTAGTGCAATCGAGCATTGTGTGGACATTGTCCCTAAAAATGCAGACCTGGACACATTGCCAAGACTTCCAGTTATAGAAAGTGTTTCAAATGAAACTAAATGTATCAAAGATAAAGCCGGATTCATTTATTTGGAATCATCTCATAATCGTAAAAGAAAAAGTGGAGAATATTTAGAGGATGTTAAGAATGGAAGAGAAGAATATGCAGAAAATTTAAGAAGAAAAAGAACTTTGAAGTCCTGTGACGGAAATGGAAGCAAGAGTGCTTTGAAATTATCAGTTTCCAAATCTCAGAATGGAGATAAGCAAAAGAAGAGACATGGTAATGTAAAAAAAAAAAAAGCATTTAATTTTCAATTGGTATTCTGTTAGAAAAAATAGTATTTTATGAAGCTCAGAGTGAGGCAATCTTTGGTTCGCATTCTGTCTTTTGTGATTATAAAGTGATAGAATAATTTGCTTATATAAATTATTGATCTTTTGCTTCAATTTCATGTTTACATGAATTTTTACCCCCCAGGTTCTGCATCACAAAAATCTAAGAATTTTAAAAGGACAAAAAATATTGTTCCTGTTGCACAGTCTCAACTGACTTTTGTGAAGCCTTTAAAAACAGGTAAACATAAATTCCTGGCATTTTGCACTTTGAAAGAAAGAGGCTTTTTAAAAAAATATATCATTTGAAATAATTTTCATAAAGTTTATCTAAAATACATTGAGTGAAATAGTAAAAATAGCAAAAGTTAGTAGAATTATATGGTTTGCATTCTTTTCATTTTCGTACTACAGGAGATAAAGAGCCACACCCTGTTTTTTAGCCTTTTAGGAAAAGCCTTAAAACAGCTGTGGTGACTGGCATGAGGTCCTGAAGGAGAAGCTGTTGACTGGAGTGGTTGGTGCTCAACAGAGAAGGCACCACCACGTCTCCATTTCAAACCCATTTAATTTTTTTTTTTTTGTAATTTTAATCTGTTTTTATATTTATAACTTTGAATATTTGTATATTTTATCTCACTGTAAGCTGTTCAGAACCCCTTGAACTGGGAGATAGGTGCCAAATAAATTTAATAATATTTTCACAGTGGTTCAAATATTTAATGAAGAATAGTTCTTTTTTGGGAAATATGTGGCATTAATTTTAATTTGTCTTATTAAACTAACATTACATACCAAGTTTCATAGTCTTCAGCATGAATTGATGAGTTAATAAATTGCCACATAATTAGCCTCCTTATTTCCTTGCCTAGATGGTAATTCTGATATATGGAATTTAACTTCTGCTCCAGTAGGTTCTTCTATAGCGTAGGCAGCCTTCCAGCATCCATCAGTATTTATCTGGCTAGCATCCTTGCAGCAAACAGCCTGGTCAGCTTCAGCATGTTATCGCAGCCTGATTTAGCAGGAGCAGCTGATTGACGGTTGAATCCGCCTCCTGGCATACTGCCAATCAGCTGTTCCAGGTGTGGGGATTGTCGCCGCCTCCCCACGTCCCATTTTCGGCCCGTTCCAGGCAGCGGCAATTGCCACTGCTCGCTGCCTGAAAGGGCCAAAAACAGGATGTGCAGAGGCTGAAAAGGGCTCATGGAGGCCAAAAACTGCTGAAGGGTGGGGGTGGGTGGGCGGGGCTTCAGCAACACTCGCTAAGATGCACAGACATTTCCACCCACTTTTTTGGGGCGGGAAAGTACATCTTTATAGTGCGAAAAATATGGTATATAAAAAACCTTTCTGGGCTCCAACTTTAGACTATCTCAGGGCTTCTGAAAAAAGCCAGGTTTTCATGGCTTGTGGAAGGGGGAGATTGTTCCATGTTACTGATGCTGGAATTTTTTGGTGCTCATCCTCTGAACTCCGTGAATGATATGGCAGAGATCAAAAAATTATTGTGTAGTGATTTAGACCCACGAAGAAGCAGAGTGAAGACTGATTTGGGAGAGTGAAAGGTGTGCTAAAGATGCCATTTTCAATCCAAAATGGGTAATTCCTGCTTACAATCATATATATTCATATGAGTGTAGACATAGTGTACAAACTGATGAGTTCCATATGTAGAACTATTGGTTGCATACACAGTTTGAACAAGAAAGCTAAGTGTAATAAAAAAGGAAGAATTTAAACAGAATTCACCTCAAGCTTGAAAATTTTTGGAGAATAATGGAGAATTATGTGAAATCTTAAAACAATTGTTCCATTACAATTGTTCATCTGTTCCGTTATCTCATATTTTGTGGTACTGTACAAAACATTGGAAAGAGACACTTCACAATCTTATTTAACATAAGCAAATCAACATTTAATCAGTGTTAAAGCAACCATGTGATTTGAAAGGCTTGTACTGCTCCTTTGCAAGTTTGTCTCCACAACTTTTTGTGCATTACATTTGATTGTAGCCAAAAGGCCGAGAAGCATGCAAAGCAGTCATACTAAATAGAAGAGCCAGTTACAGTGGAAGGGTTTATGTACTTCAAGAAATGTCAATTTCCAATCCTTTGCTCAGCACTCCTAGTCTCCATCTACAGTTAGAAATGGAGCTTTGATATATTCTCATTAGGTGATAAGGATTTCAATGTTTCAGCAAAAACAATAATATAACTTTTAATTATTTTAAAAGATATTCCTAGGCATCCAATGCCTTTTGCAGCAAAGAATATGTTTTATGATGAGCAGTGGAAAGAAAAACAACAACGAGGTTTTACATGGTGGTTGAATTTTGTACTTACTCCTGATGATTTTACTCTGAAAACAGACATTTCACAAGGTAAAGTTGATCAATGGCATCTTATTATTTCAAGGGTTAAGAGTAGTTAAGAACTGTCCTGTGTTCCAGAAATTAGCTGTGTGTATATATGCACAAAAACTTTTCATTATAGTTCTTTCATGCATCTGCACATTTATTACAATCAGCTAGAAATATAGTTGTGTTGGACCTGGTACTATTATCTGAAGTCAGCCTAGCAATCAGATTAAAAGGTCTTTTCTTTTGATTGCTGGACTTTCTTAGGATTTGGTGTCATTTGTGCTCAGCAAACTTTAGCCATCTGGCCATCCTTCTAATGGTAATTCAATTATTTTTAAGATGAGATTTAAAGTAAGTTTTAAACTCACAACCATTTTCTCTTTATTAGTTAATACAGCATGTCTCATCCTGGGAACAGAGACTTATAAAACCAGTGTTCCTAAAGCACCAACAAAAGAAGAAGCATCATTAAGATCATATACAACTCGATGCAAATTAAACAAACTTCGTAGGTCAGCTTGCCGCTTGTTTACCTGTGATGAAATGGTGAAAGCAATAAAAAGGCTGGAGATTGAAATTGAAGTGAAACGTTTGCTAGTTCGAAAAGACAGACACCTGTGGAAGGATATTGGTAAGAATATAACTGTTTTAGAGCAGGGGTCCCCAATCTCCAGTTCATGGACTGGCACCCGTCCATGGCATGCCAGCAACCAGGCTGTGCAAACAAATGAAGCTCCATCCGCGGGATACAGGAAAAATATTTCTTCATGGAACTGGTCCCTGGTGTCCAAAAGGTTGGGGACTGCTGTTTTAGGAGGGGGCAGGGTTGGCTTAAGAAAATTGATGAATAAATTGATCGTGCCTCTGCTACTGATGTGATCAATATCTTTCTGTAACAATATTAAGAAATGCTTTCACTACATAATTCTTTTGCGTTTGTCTTTCTTTCAGGAGAACGACAGAAAATCCTCAACTGGCTTTTATGTTACAATCCACTGTGGTTGCGCATCGGCCTAGAAGTGAGTTTGTACTTTGTAATGATTATTCTGTAAGCAATATGCTATTCTGTAAAGTCTAATGATTGTGTTACAAGGAACTGTTCAAGATCAGGATAAGATATTCTTTAATGCAAAATTCTTCTGCTTGAGAACATAATGCTTAAATAGGCATCAGTGGCCAAAACAAGCGCAGTATTTTGTGGCTCATTAAATTGATTTTCAGTGATGAGAACAGCTGCATTAACATAATAATATAGTATATTGTTTTCTTCCTTTCCCATACATTGTTCTATTGCTTCCTAAAATATTCTGTGAGGATAATATAGCAATGCAGACTTAGTGAATATGTTCAAGTTCCAAATTGTTGCAAAAATTTGAATGTCATCCTATTGCTACAATAGTTTTATTCATATTTTGAATTATTTTCACCCTTTTATCTTTGTCAGACAATCTTTGGTGAACTGATTGCTTTGGAAAGTAACAGTGATGTGATGGGTTTGGCAGTATTTATACTAAATCGCTTGTTGTGGAACCCAGATATAGCAGCTGAATACCGACACCCAACTGTGCCTCACCTTTATCGAGATGGTAAACTTTTTCTTCGCTATTATAATAGTAGTATTTCAAAATTGAGAGCAAGTTTGGTATAGTGGTTAAAGGCACTAGGTTAGAAACTGGAAGATTATGAGTTTTAGTGCTGCCTTAGCCATGAATCTAGCCAGGTGTCCTTGGGTCAGTCATTGTCTTTATCCTAAGAAGGAAATGGCAAACATTTCCAAAAATGTTTAAAAAATCCATGTACAAATCCAGATTGACTGAAAGAACAAAGGTAAAAAAATAGTTACAAGAAGCATCTCTATATAAAATATTGCATTTATAGGTCATGAAGAAGCATTGTCCAAATTTACACTGAAAAAACTTCTGCTACTGGTTTGTTTCCTTGATCGTGCCAAAGTGTCTCGAATTATTGAACACGACCCTTGCTTATTCTTCAAAAATGCAGAATTTAAGGTATTCTCACTTAAAATTGTCTTGAATTATGTTTGCCTATAATCTGTATGCATTTGTGTGTTTGAAAGACACAAGCCATGCTTATTTCTTTAGAATATTTTTTAAAAATAATAGATATCCGGTACAAGAATTTTTCAGGGCTGATTAAAATTTAATCAACAATGGGTTTATTACAAGTTTTTGATAATATGTAACTGGCAGTTTCATTAATGATTGTAATTAATGTCCATAATATTAAAAACAAAGTATACAGCTAGCAGTAATATTTATATTATAGTTCAGTGACTTAATTATGTAGGATAATAAATTATTGTATATGTGTACTGATTCCCTCCCCCCCCTTTTTTTTCCCTAGTCTAGTAAAGAAATATTACTAGCATTTTCCCGTGACTTTTTAAGTGGAGAAGGTGATCTTTCACGTCACCTTGGCTTCATGGGTTTCCCTGTTAATCACGTACAGACTCCGCTTGATGAATTTGACTTTGCTGTTACAAATTTAGCTACAGACTTACAATGTGGCATTCGTCTTGTGTAAGTTTTTGCTGAATTTTGTCATTACAATTATAAAAATATATTGCATGAAGAAATTAATTACTTTTTAATATGAAATATTAATGTATTTAAGGAGAACTTTAGAACTGCTGTCATCAGATTGGACTCTTTCTGAAAAATTAAGAGTGCCTGCAATCAGCAGACTTCAGAAGATGCATAATGTTAAACTTGCTTTTGAGGCATTGAATAATCAGGGAATTCAGTTGAAAGATGAACATGGTAAGTACCAGACAGTAATGTGGAGTGGTATCCTATAAGTCTGTTGATTTTGCTTTTCATTAATCTGTTTCATTGGTTTATAGGTTCAACCATTGACACAAAGGATATTGTAGATCGACATAGAGAGAAAACATTTGCTTTGTTATGGAAAATAGTGTTCGCTTTTCAGGTACTGCATAATCATTGGTTTAATTTATCTTTAGAGCATAAAATAAAAAAGTATATTCTCTATCTTCAGAATTTCAGCAAACAATAAATAGTCTGTGCATGAAACTTAACATGGTATTATGTCTGCTTCATGCATAAAGCCGATGTATAAAAGTAGATGTGCTATACATAGAATTTGAGAGGAAAAATTCAAAATAGATGACAGCACCGATGAGGGTATATTTATTTACATTTGGAGGGCATTCATGAAAAGCTGTCATACAAAGTAGCAACTATAGATATTAAGATTTGAAACCTTTAAAATATACATATACATTATCAAGAAATTGAGTGCTATCGTTATTTAGATCTTAATTTTCAATCATTTTTCAGCACTGTGTGCAACTTTTTAAAGCAACCATATCTTATAACCATATGGCAACTGAAAGGTAGCTGCATAATTCCAAGGGAAAAAAAACAATTGCTTTAAAGCATTACAGGTAGAGTCAACTGTAGTGCTCTTTCATATTTCGGAGCATCTTTTTAGAATTGAGAACAAAGCACTGCAGAGTCCTGATTAATTTTTAAATAATGTATACATATGTATACACATATATGTATACACATATAGCTATATAGGACTGGTTTCCTAGATTAAGACATTATTTTCATAGCCTCTCTGAATTATTAGAACTTTCTGTAGGCTCTTTTCACAACCTGAACAAAATCAACATTTTTGAAAATGTGTAATATCCAAAACCTGTTGCCATTTTAGTTTTGATAATTTGTCTTAGCAATTTGTTAAGAGTTGGTATGTTTTAACATCCTAAACATTACTCAGAATGATTTTTAAAATTCCATCAGTAATACTCTCAGTTTAATTATTTCACTATATAAGGAATGTGTTATGAATAAAATTGTGGTTGGACCTTGTTTAGGTGAATATTTCTCTTGACGTGGATCAGTTAAAAGCAGAAATTGCTTTCTTAAAAAACATGCAAGTTACAAAATTAAAAAGACCTGATGTGGAATGTGTTAACAGCATGGGAAATGACACCAGCAGGACTTATTCATATGAAAGCTTTGGTGAAAATGTAAAACTGCTGATGGACTGGGTGAATGTTGTCTGTGGATTTTACAATATTAAGGTAAATAATTATTTCCTTAAACAATTTCACAAAGCACACTGTTCTGAGTATGATAATTATTAAACTTAACCAAATGTAATAAACGTGAATTGAAATGTTGAGACAAGTATATTTATGTTTTGATCATATACAGTATTTGTTATGTGGATTATTACTGCTGTGAAAACTAAAATATTAAAGTAAGAGTTGATTATGATAATTTATTCGTAACAGTATAGCATTTGCTACTGCCTTGTCTCTTCTTGGTATACTTCATTGATGCTAAATGGCATCATATGAATAGTTGCTTGCTGGTGGGTGGAAGATGATGGTGATGATGATTTAAGCAACCTATGGCACAGGAAAAAAGGTATAAATATAATGGCCTGGCAGTATGATTGGGCTTAATATATAAAAGATAATACTATGTTATTCAAAAATATATTCCATATTGTTACATTAAATCATTTGTCTGTACATTACTTTTGTTAAGAGATTATGTGACACTGATTCTTTTTAAAAACATTAAATTTTCTACTACTTAATGTGTATGCTCTTAAGGTAAGTTAATTATTTAACTTGATCTAAATTTTTAAATAGCCTTATAATATGTTCATATATTCTTCTGTTTTAGTTCCAACAAGTTGTTAAAAAACACTAAAGATAAATCTGAAATCTTTAAATAAGAAGAGCTTAAATACAAAGTTGATGCTTCAGTTTAGTTTAGCAAAAGTCAAGGATAAGATCTGTCTCACTGTGTCCTCCCCCCTCCCCAAATCCACGGCATCATCTAGTTGTGGAATAATATCTCAGAGTAATATTCTCTAGAAACCTGACACAAGAATTTCCAAACCATTTGGTATTACGTTTTTTATTTTTTATTTATTTTTAGAAAATGCACAAATCTTCCTAGCTGTAATTTAAGACTACCCACTTACAACAAATTTTCTTTCATAGTTAAAATTGAACAGACAATATTTGTAGAAGTAAAATGAATTTGCCCTTCCTTCCTCCCTCCTTCCCATCAGCTGACCTTTCTGCCACAATTTACTATTCATACAGCCTTGTTTCTTTCCTATCAGCTTGCTTGTCTCCCAATCCTAAACTGCCTGAAAAAAATAATTTTAGGCTAGTACGTAAGAAAAGGTAGATTACTTTTTTAAAATAAAAGATCTTTGTAAAAAAAAATATCCAGAGGAATACATCCCACGGAAGTTATTTATCTCAGAATAACTCCTTCAAGAACTGTTTTAACATAGATTTATTTACTTACAGATTTATAGATTTAGATTTTTACAACCATCACAGAGCTACCATTGTTTTTATGTTCCTTTATTCTAGGTGGAAAATTTCACAGTGTCCTTTTCAGACGGAAGAGTATTATGTTATTTGATTCATCATTATCACCCATGTTATGTACCTTTGGAGGCTATATGTAAACACACTACTCAAACAGTAGAATGTACCAGAAGTGGCACTCTTGGGATGAATTCTTCTTCTGAATCTGATGCTTCTCTAAATCTAATAAATGGAACTTTTGATCAAAGTGAGTTCATTAGAAACAGAGCTGGCTTCAAAGCAGGCTGGGATTATGAGTTACTATTTCTTCTTTAATATATTCCATTTTTCATGTTTCTGTTTACAAAGATATAAGTACTTCTGTGCTTTATAAAGAACTCCTTGATAATGAAAAGAGAAATTTTCAATTGATCAATGCTGCAGTTTCTGATCTGGGAGGTGTTCCAGCTATGATTCAGCATTCAGACATGTCTAATACAATACCTGACGAGAAGGTAAGCAGTAGGATCATTAAAATTCAAAGTTGTTTTATTTCCTCACAACATATAGTAAGTTTCTGTTTATATGTTCTTTCTTTTTAGGTAGTCATTATTTATGTGTCATTTCTGTGTTCAAGACTTATAAGTCTTTCTAAAGAGATTCGAGCAGCTCAGTTGATTCAATCTGCTTGGAGAAAATACAGATTGAAAATACTTGCTGAGGTATTCAGTTGCATTCTATTTTGCTCTTTATTGTCAACTCAGACTACTGCTAATGGAAGGAAAGAGGATTGTTTATATTATTATTTTTTTCAGACCAAGAAGCAAAAATCTAATGCTGTAGTTGTACTTCAAAAGCACTGGAGAAAATATTTGGCTGTTCTGGAACTTCAGAAATTAAAAAAGGCAAAGCAAGAAGAAACTGAAAGAATTGCAATCCAGGTATAATTGACTTTGTATAAAACCACTTGATCAAAATGAATCCATTTTTTACTTAAGGTGGTTAAGATATTAAGTTTTAATTCCTGAAGCCATTAGATTTCAAGTTCAAGTAAATAAAGGTTTTACTAATATAACATTTGTTGGTCCTCACACTTTATAAAACAAAACCTTGAACAAACAAATGTATAACTTGTGTTTTCTTCTTGTTATTTAGAGATGTCAAGAGGCTGTAATTGTCCTTCAAGCTTGGTACAGAATGAAGAGAGAGAGGCAGCGGTTTTTAAAAATGTGTGGAGCAGCATCTGTCATTCAAACATACTATCGTGCACATAGAGAAGAAACCTTTCAGAGACAGAAATTTTTGCAAATCAAAAAGGCAACTTTGTGTTTGCAAGCAAGCTACAGGGGCTTTAAAGTACGAAGAATGCTAAGACACCAACACATGGCTGCTACTAAAATCCAGGCTACATACAGGGCTTATGCTGCTAGAATGAAATATCAAAGTTTGATTCAAGCTTCCATTGTGATTCAGAAATGGTACAGGACTTCTAAAAGTGGATCCAAAATAAGAACAACATTCCAGGAGACAAAAGCAGCTGTGATTTCCTTACAGGCAGTTTTGCGTGGTTGGCAAGTGAGAAAATGGCTTCAGAGGCAGCATGCTGCTGCAATTACTATTCAATCTGCCTACAGAAAGTATAAAGCTATGAAAAAATTCAGGCTGATGAGACGTGCTGCTCTTACTATACAGCAACATTATCGGGCTTACATCTCAAGTAAAAAACAACAACAGGAATATATTGTTCTTTACAATAGCATTTTATTATTCCAGGCAACTTGGAGAGGAATTATTGTGAGGAAGCAAATAGAAACACAGCATCAGGCTGCAGTGACTATTCAGTCCTATTATAGGATGCATGTGAATCAAGCTAAGTTTAAACATTTCAAGAAAGCTGCAATTACAATTCAGAGATGGTATCATGCTGTTACTCAAGCCCGTAACACACGACAAAAATACCTTGCTTTAAAGGAAACAACTGTTAAAATGCAGGCAATTTACCGATGTTTGAGAGAAAGGCGAAAAATCCAGCGCATGAATCAAGCAGCTATTTGTATCCAAGCCATGTTTAAAATGCATCGATGTAATGTTCAATATAGGACCTTGAAAAGGTCAGCTACTATAATTCAAGCACGATACAGAGCTTTCTGCAGAGGACAGAAAGATCGGAAAAAATATCTGGCACTTAGAAAGTCATCTCTCATCCTTCAAGCAGCTTACAGAAGCATGAAAATTAGACAGGAATTGAGAAGTAGTCACCAGTGCATACTAGTTATTCAGTCATATTATCGAATGTACAGAGAACGGAAAGCTTATTTAAAGCTAGTTGCAGCAACAAAAGTGATTCAGCGATGGTATCGTGCTTCCAGAGATACAAATGCTCAGATGTATAAATACAAAATGATGAAGGTTTCTGCTCTCCAAATCCAGGCGGCTTTCCGAGGTATGAAAACTAGAGTCCTTTTGAAAAAGATGCACATGGCTGCTGTCATCATTCAAAGGAATTTTAAAGCTTTTGTTCAGAGGCGTAAATTTATTTTTCTTAAATCAGCTGCTGTGACAATTCAAAGCAGGTATCGAGCAACAGTACTCTCAAAACGGCAACGTGAGAAGTTCCTTAATTTGCGTAGAGCAGTGATTGTAATACAGTCTACCATCAGAGGCCTGCTTCTTAGGAGATATGTAAAGCAAATGCATCTGGCTGCTGCAGTTATCCAAGCAACCTTTCGAATGCACATAACCTATACTCAATATAGAACAATGAAGTCTGCTTGTATTGTAATACAGCACCATTATAGAGCATACCAAACAGTTAAGCAAACCAGAGATTTGTACTTAAAACAGCGTCACTCTGCTCTAATTCTTCAGGCTGCTTATAGAGGAATGAAAGTGAGGCTATGTTAAAGAAAAAGCATGAAGCTGCAGTAGTCATACAAAGTAACTATAGAAAACACAGGCAATGGAAATCCTACAGAAATATTCAATGGGCAGTCAGACTCATCCAGGCAAGAGTCAGAGCCAAGCAAGGGAGCAAAATGGCAGCCCAGCAATATTCTTCCATTAAGAAAGCTACCATCTGCATTCAGAAAGCTTTTCGCAGGATGAAGGCAAGAAACCAAAGAAGACAGGAAGCTGCTATCTTGCTTCAGCGGAATTTTAAAATGCAAAGAGCACGTAAAAATTACCTTGCCTTAAAAGTGGTTGCTATATCTCTTCAGAGAAAGTATCGAGCAACAGTACTCTCAAAACGGCAACGTGAGAAGTTCCTTAATTTGCGTAGAGCAGTGATTGTAATACAATCTACTATCAGAGGCCTGCTTGTTAGGAGATGTGTAAAGCAAATGCATCTGGCTGCTACAGTTATCCAAGCAACCTTTCGAATGCACACAACCTATACTCAATATAGAACAATTAAGTCTGCTTGTGTTGTAATACAGCATCGTTATAGAGCATACCAAACAGCTAAGCAAACCAGAGATTTGTACTTAAAAAAGTGTCGCTCTGCTCTAATTCTTCAGGCTGCTTATAGAGGAATGAAAGTGAGGCATATGTTAAAGAAAAAGCATGAAGCTGCAGTAGTCATACAAGGTAACTATAGAAAACACAGGCAATGGAAATCCTACAGAAATATTCAATGGGCAGTCAGACTCATCCAGGCAAGAGTCAGAGCCAAGCAAGAGAGCAAAATGGCAGCCCAGCAATATTCTTCCATTAAGAAAGCTACCATCTGCATTCAGAACGCTTTTCGCAGGATGAAGGCAAGAAACCAAAAAAGACAGGAAGCTGCTATCTTGCTTCAGCGGAATTTTAAAATGCAAAGAGCACGTAAAAATTACCTTGCCTTAAAAGTGGCTGCTATATCTCTTCAGAGAAAGTATCGAGCAACTGTACTCTCAAAACGGCAACGTGAGAAGTTCCTTAATTTGCGTAGAGCAGTGATTGTAATACAATCTACTATCAGAGGCCTGCTTGTTAGGAGATGTGTAAAGCAAATGCATCTGGCTGCTGCAGTTATCCAAGCAACCTTTCGAATGCACACAACCTATACTCAATACAGAACAATTAAGTCTGCTTGTGTTGTAATACAGCATCATTATAGAGCATATCAAACAGCTAAGCAAACCAGAGATTTGTACTTAAAACAGTGTCGCTGTGCTCTAATTCTTCAGGCTGCTTATAGAGGAATGAAAGTGAGGCATATGTTAAAGAAAAAGCATGAAGCTGCAGTAATCATACAAAGTAACTATAGAAAACACAGGCAATGGAAATCCTACAGAAATATTCAATGGGCAGTCAGACTCATCCAGGCAAGAGTCAGAGCCAACCAAGAGAGCAAAATGGCAGCTCAGCAATATTCTTCCATTAAGAAAGCTACCATCTGCATTCAGAACGCTTTTCGCAGGATGAAGGCAAAGAAACCAAAAAAGACAGGAAGCTGCTATCTTGCTTCAGCGGAATTTTAAAATGCAAAGAGCACGTAAAAATTACCTTACCTTAAAAGCGGCTGCTATATCTCTTCAGAGAAAGTACAGAGCATTGGTTGTGATGAGAAGACAAACTAAAGAATATGCTTCTGTTCGTGCAAAAATTATTTTTTTGCAGTCTGTCTATAGAGGCTTTAAAATACGGAAAGAAGTCAGATGCCAGCATTTAGCAGCAACAGTGATTCAGGCAACATTTAAAATGTATAAAGTTAAACTAGCTTACCAGAAACTGAGATATGCTACTATCGCCATGCAGAAGTACTATCGATCACATCTAAAGGAGAAACAAAAAAATACACATCAGGAAATTCAGAAATCTATAATAAGCCAGGTCACTTGCAGAGGAACAAAAATTCAGCCAGAATTGGACATCATGCATATTTCAGCAACTGTCATCCAATCTCTTTATCGGATGTATGTACAGCAAAAGCATTACAAATTGATATGCTGGGCTGTGATAACTATTCAATCTGCCTATCGTGGAATGATAGCACGCAAAAAAACAAAGAAAATGCGTGCAGCAAGAAACAGGCAGTTGTGTCATATAGCTGTGAATGATAGAACTGAAGCTATTGAATCAAAGAGTCAGTGCCATACAAATGAAGTCGGAGAACAATACCAAAAATATTGGAAAGCTGTAGTTTTAATACAACAACGTTACCGATCTTACCTGACTATGAAACATCATTCAACGGTTTACTTGCAAACACATAAGAGAATAGTTCTTTTGCAAGCTACAGTGAGAGGTTTCATTGAACGGCAGAGGTTTTCCAGAATGAAAAGAAGTACAATAAAAATACAGGTATTTAAAAATTCAGTTTTCTCCAGCATTAATTGTTTCTAGTGACAATAGAATAAGCTTGAATAAATAGCAATAGCACTTAGACTTATATACCGCTTCACAGTGATAGCCCTCTCTAAGTGATTTATAGAGTCAGCATATTGCCCCCAACAATCTGGGTCCTCAATTTACCCATCTCGGAAGGATGGCTGGCTGAGTCAACCTTGAGCCTGGTGAGATTCAAAGTGCCAAACTGCTGGCAGCTGGTGATCAGCAGAAGTAGCCTGCAGTACTGCATTCTAACTGTGCCACTCTGGCTCTTGTAGATTTCCTTGGATACAATTTAACTACAAATTAAAAGCAAAATTATGTAAGTCCATACCTTTAAGATATGGAATATTCTTTTATAGCTGTCCCTCACCTATGTTAGGCTGCTGCTTTCATAATTTCATATTATGAGGCCATGAGCTCAAGTTTCATTTATATCCCTTTAAAACAGAGATGGTATCGAGGAAACTGGCAGAGGAGGAAATACCTGCAATATCGTAAGAAAATTATTATAATACAAAGAATGGTGAGAAGATGGATTAGCCACAGAAATACAAATACAGGTGGAATTCCAAAAGACATAACCCCCCAAAATGTTAATACTGGAATAACTAAATTTCAGGTAAGTAAATTTTCATAAAAATGATACTGTTTAGGAATGTGCATAAAAGACAAACAAATTTGTTTTCAAACCCAAATATTTTCTTTGGGAATTTTTTTTTTAGGCATGCAGTGATCCAGATAAACGAAATTGCTTGTAATGAAGTTTCTGTTGTTCATAACTTAATTATGAATAAGAGGGCTGATGTGACCTATATTTGATGAAACCCAGCTGGGTATTTGGGAGGGAGGTTCCCCTCTCTGCAGTGTATTTCTCCAAGTTTCATTTAACTTAAATATTGCCATCTTGTTGGACTTCAGAAGTGTACCATTTCTATAATAGCTCCTCTCTTCTGAGTGTCAGGGTTCTTACCAAGGCCCTAATAAAAGCAGGAGCCTCAAGCCAGTTTTCAAGGAAAATCCAGTTATTTATTAAGAGCGCCATGTCGGCACGGACGTAGTTGAAGCCAGCTTTGACCCCACTCAGTTTGCGCCTTGCCTTTGACCCTGTTTCCCCCTCCCTCCCAAGGTGTGTCATCAGTCACATTCCCCAACAAAGCAATTTCACGGGTCATAGAAGTCACTCCCTCTGGCTGTTCCTGGTTTCTGTGGAGATGGCCTTGACTTTGGCCTGCTAGGATGTACGTTGTTTTGACTGAGGTGCAAATTCCTCAATGCAGCTGTAAGGCTCGATTCCCCATCCCCCTGCCTATGGCAACTCGGGATCAGATTAGGAAAGTTTCGTGAGTTGACACTGAGGTCTAACAGACCCCTACCCTTCTATTCTCCCAGAGAGTACTTAAAACCTGGCTCTTCCTCAAGGCAATGGAATAGAGCAAGCCCAGGTTCGGATGAGAATATCTGTGCATAAAAGAAATGGGGCTGAGGCATAGGGTTTTTCTGTTTTTATTGTTATTGTTGGTTTTTATAATTGTTTATATTGCTTTATTGTTTGTAAGCTATTGTAAGTTTTAAGATGGGCAGCTATATGAATATTTTAAAAGAATAAAAAATAGTCAAATGATTTACTCATTCTGTTTCAGTCAACTTACTCTAAAAACTGCAAACATGAAAACAATTATCTTTAGGATATTCTGTGAACTAAATTTAAAATCTTGCATATTGCTCATTGGAGCAATTGGAAATGTTTTATGAATAGCTCATTCTCTAAAACTGTCTATTTGCAAATTTTCATCAAGTGACTTTCAGATTATTTTTTTTTGAGAAAAACAATTGCCTGAAAAAATAGTGGAATTTATTTTTAATAAGCTATATATAGCTTATTAAATAAAGCTATCTTCTGGAAAGTTTCTGCCTCTTTTATTCCTTAAATATGTAACTTCCCTTTTCCCCTTATAAGGCACTGTGGAGAGGATATTCTTGGAGGAAGAAGACTGATACTCCAGAAACCAGATCTCTGCGAGACAGTTTGATCATTGCCAATAAAGAAAGCAAAGAAGAGAAGAAGCTTTATAATAGAACTGCAGTTGCCATTGATTATCTTCTTAAATATAAACATTTTTCTTATATTCTGGCAGCTCTGAAAGATCTTGGTTAGTAATTTGATTCAAGGGCAGTCATATTTTTAAATATCAGTATACAAACATTCTTCTATGCACAAAGTGAAAAACAGGAAAAACTAAAAACTAGTTCTTTTTATCGTCTTTAAAAGCATTGGTGTCTCAAATAAAAAAAAAATCAGAGATAGCTGGGCCAAAATTAATGTGTCTGAAAGAAATATTTCACCACTGGGTTGCTCCCATAATCAATTGCAATATATGGTGCAATTTGATTCATATGTGTGGAAGGGAGGGAATATTTATGTTTTGATAATTTATCTTGACTTATTGATAGTTTTCTGATCATCTTCCACATGTGAGGCTGAAATTTGTGCATTTGAGAAGTCCTCACAGGCTATAGAAATCTGGGGTTTAAATAATGGTATGACTAGCAATGTAGAATGTAGTAACTAAATTCTAAATAATGTTGCATTTGAATTTTGTAAGATGCAATAAATAGAATATTATAGCACTAGACTAAGAGTTGACATGTGCAATCAGTTCTGGGGTTTCAGTTATATGAGGAATAGATTGGTCACTGAATTTATATTTCTTTCTGCAATATATTTAGGTATTAGTTTGAAAAGATGTAATATTTTTCCTATTTTTCTCTTGTCAGAGGTGGTTACAAGATTGTCTCCAGTTTGCTGTGAAAATATGGCCCAAAGTAAAGCAGTCTGCATTATTTTTACTTTGATACGGAGCTGCAATAGAAGTGTCCCTAGTATGGATGTTATTAAATATTCTGTCCAAGTCTTGCTTAATTTATCAAAGGTATTAATTTATTTTCATGTTTGTTGAAATTAAGCTTTTTTATTTTTTGTAAGTTTGTATTATAAAGTTTACAACTGTTATTATTTTCTCATTTATAATAAGCGCCAGAATTTAAATTTCAGGTTATATTGCAAATGAGAGCTAAACTCATTTACACTATTGAAGCTTATTTCAAGTTTAATTTAGCACAATTCTAAACTGCCAAATAATTTATGCTGTGAAAAGTACCAGTGATACTGGTTTTCAAAAAAATATTTCAGTCTAAAATTGATTAGCATTTTACGTAATGTGCAATGATTCAAACTGCAAAAAAATTTACTCATTATTCTTGTAGCTTGTATCAATCTGCCAAATAGTTAAAAAGTACTTGTACAAAACACTTCATTCCAAAAATTAGGGAAAGTATATTTTAAATTAAGGATGTTACTTAGTCCCACATAGTTACTGGAACTGCTTATCAAATAATTTATAATGTACCTTTAGTGAGTGTTAGTTGACTTTAGTATTGTATTTGGGGAGGGGGGGGGAATTTGTAGATGATGAAAAAGTACCAATCTAGAAGCACTGTTGCAGTTCCCTATACTGTCAAGATATGGTTTGGAAAAACTGTATTTTGAGAGAAAGTTAAGAAAAGAAAGCCCTGTTTAAGCATTAGAAAAGAAATTGAATTTCATTAGGCAATAAAAAACCTTCAGGTTAATTTTCAAAACATTTAAGTAGTAAGACATTTATATGTCCTAGAGGTGGGGGAGGGTAAGATCTTATTTTTGCTAGTAAAAGAAGACACCTGCTGTCCTCTCAATTCATAAGTTATAGTTAATTCATAAGAATATATATTATAATAGTCATTGTCCTGCCTAAGTACAATCTGGAATTTAAAATATTTGCTAGAATAAACTTAGTTGATTCTGCTTATATTGTTTATACTTAACTAACAAATAGACACGAATGAGTTTTGATGCTGTAAATCATTGACATTTGTTTGTCATTCTACAGTTTCCATAATGATTTCACAAATGATGAACAATCCTAGGATTTTTTTTGAGAATTAACTTACAACTCTTCTCATCTGTTTAGTATGAAAGGACTACTGATGCTGTTTATTCAGTGGAAAATTCAGTAGAAACACTGTTGGATTTACTTCAGATGTACCGGGAAAGACCTGGGGACAAAACTTCAGAAAAAAGTGGTAGCATTTTTACCAAGACCTGCTGCTTATTTGCTCATCTCTCAAAGGACTCAAGAAGAGCTTCTGTAAGTTTTTTTGTTAACTTTTTGTGTCTTCATTCTGTAGGAATTGCCAAAGTATATATTCAAATATAAATAGAATAGAATAGAATAACAGAGTTGGAAGGGATCTTGGAGTTGTATATGTATTCAAAAATTGGAACGCAAATTCTTTTTCCTTGTTTGGGCCTGCATGCCAAAAAATAGAACTAGCCTTCAGGTTCAGATACAGAAACTAGTACTTAAGAGGTAGCAGTGTAGTTGCTGGAAATTTTTTAAAAACAGACATTCTAAAATAAAGTATTTTAGAACTGAATAGTGAGCAAATATTCCTACTTGCTCTCTCTCACACAGTGAAATTGGTTGTTTTAAATTAAAATGTATTTTCTGAGTAGGCAAAATAACAAGTTTACTATGTTATTATTTCACATATATCTGGCCAACTAATACTTGCTTATATATAATGGTTTCATATAGGATGTCGCTGATTCATCTTAAGTACAGCTAATCCTCATTTAGCAACCACAATTGGGACTGACAACTTGGTTATTAAACAAAGCAGTTGCTAAGTGAAACCATGACTGTGCTTACTTCAGCTTTCCTTTGCTTTCAGACCTGTGGAGGTTGTAAATTTGAGGGCTGGTTGCAAAGCTATTTTTTCATCATTTCATTGACTAACTGTTCAGGCACTAAATGAGGCAGTCACTAAATTAGGACTACCCTATAGTTAAAAGTAAATCCTGGCTATTAGATTCTAATAATGGGATTTGCTTCTCTTAGCTATGCTGAAGATAGGAAGTTGCTTCTTTGGGGGGCTCTGACAATTCACCACACCAACTTGCATGACCATTCACCACAGGACAACTTGGTGCAGGACAAGAGTTACACTAATATCAAAGAAATGGTGGAATAGAATAATTAAAGAAAGGATGCAAAAGGAAGGACAGAATGAAATGTGAATGGCAAAAATTAAAATATTTTTATTTATTTTAAATAATTAAATGTAATTGTTAAATTGTCTTGCGGCAAGTTGTCCCACAGGGAGTTGGCCATGACGAGTTGGCCCACAGCAGGTTGGCTGTGGTGAGATGGCCATGGTGAATTGGCTGTAGAAAGTTGGCTATGGCAAGTTGTCCCATTCCCTCTTTGGGGAATATAGTTGAATGTAGACAATTTCTACTGAACTTTGCCTTTTAATATATAGATTATAAATCAGGTTGACTGGATCCCACAATATTTAACAGCCTTTAAAAGTAGAACTTAGTTCAAACTATTCACAATTGATAGACCATACTACTTTAGGGGATGTTTTTTGAAAAATTACTAGCTCTTCCCGTTCTATACAATTCTGTGTTTTAACAAAATATGTCTTATTTTAAGTGTTTGAAATTGTCCTTTTCTATAGAGTAAATCCTGAATTTTGTGTAATATAGCTGAGACTAGCTTTAAAATGAAGTACTTGGTGTAAATGAGGCATACTGACTAAATTGGTCCAATTGAAAATTTGAAAGGATTTTCAAAGATGTACAGCTATGAGATTTCATTGAACAAAATACTATATTTTAACAACTGTGGTTTATTTTTTTAGGAGATTCGAAACAATCATAAAACAGTTGCTAGCCTTCGGAGATTGTTTAAACTTACAGCCCGTAAACATCAAATGGATGTCCAAAGAATGCGTGCCAAACAAAAAAAAGTTGCATACACAAATGGACAGAGTTCCATTGCTGTAAAAACAAAAATAGTTTCAAGGTAAGTCTAAATTGTTGTAACTTTAAATTTTCTGTTTCAAATCATACTTTTATTTTTATGGATTTTTTTTTTCATCCTATAGGCAGAGGCCGGATTGGGATTTAAGGAAAGATAATATAAGAGAGATAGTTGATCCATTGCAAGCCATTGAGATGGTAGTGTACACACTTGGAATTTCCTGCAATTAAAACATGGAAGAGTTTACAATTATGACATTTTCAGAAAAAAATGGCCTGGACTTCTTGTATCAATGTACATATTATGCATTTGTTTCATAAAGCTTGTTTACCTGTGTTTGAACTCATCTGTCAGTTAAACTAAACTTCTTATTGACATTTATCTGTTGAATTAATAAAATCTCAAATATTACTTTTATATAATTTAGAGCTAAGAAAAGTATATATTTTATACTGTGTACAATATAGATTGTTATTTTATACAATAAAACGGAAAAACTAAGGTTGTTAGTTAATGTAAAGTGTGGTTTTTTTTGTTTTAGAGAGAAATTTGAAACAAATATTAACAGCTTAATAGCATAAAATGAGCATGTAAAACTTGATTAAGACTGAGGGTTTGTCTGTGGGAAATTGCATTCTAAAGAACTGAACAGGATTATTGAAAGACAACACCAGAAAAAAATAATTAAAGCTCTGATAGGATTACTTCCCCAAAAATTATTCATTTTTCCCCTTTGCAACACTTTAAAAATAATATTTTTTTATATTTTGTTTTTACTTAATAAAATTATTTTCTGGTTTACAAATGGAAAGTAGCTTTTCTTATCTGTAAAATTCTTAGTTTTGCTTTACCACTATGAACCCTAAGTTTCCTATTGTTACTTCATGATAAGTTCTTTCACAAGATATGACTACTAAATGGAAACATCAAAAGTATGAAAAAAAAAAACCTATCAGTAGTTGCAAGTCTATTCATATTCAGTTCATCTCACACTCTTCAATTACTAGTTTTATTGTCATCTTTTGTATCTTCTTCCACTGATATATCTGATGCCTACATATTCCTTTTTCTGTGGCTGGACCCATATTGTGAAACAAACTGTCTGGAGTTTAAGTAAATCTCATTCCCCATAATTTAGTAACAGACTCAAAACATTTGTTTATTATGGCTTTTTAATTGTATCAGTTGTTTTGATTTTTATTGTTTTTAACACAAACACATTATCTATCTATATCTATCTATCTATCCACACACATATAATGTTTATATAATGTGATAGATAGATAGATAGATAGATAGATAGATAGATCACACAAGTTGGTAGAATCCTTTCTTAAATAATTTGACTTCAAATAAGCTTTTGATTTTCTTTCAACCACAAAAGATTTAAAAGTAATTCCTACATGTTTAAATGCCTTGGTCTGTTTGGTGGTAGTATTATTGTCTGTCAATGAGTATGGCTAACGAACCTTTTAGTAAACACTTCTTTTATTTTTTTAATAGTTGATTGCAAAGCTTCCTTTCAATAAAATGCATCAGCCCAAGGATTTGACCTATTATTTATTTTCTTCATCCTAGAGGAGCCCAGAAGAAAACAAAACATAAGGCTACTGCAATAAAGCAACACTCAATAATAGATACAAAAATAATGCAAATTTCATTTTAACAGAAACAAAGTAATAGCTAATCTAAAAGTTATGCTTATTTGCAATGTCTTGGTAAATATGATTTTACTTTAAAAAATTTATATATGTGATGGGGAGGAGGCAGCTAACATCCCTTTAGAAGAGTTCTATAATTAGAAAATGTTCTATTGCTGGCAACTGCGGAAAAGTTGAACCATCTGAGATTTTGAACAATTCCAGCCCAATTTATTTTACTTTACATTCATAAATAGTTTAAGGGGCAATTGAATGTCAATGTTTACAATGAACTTGTACCATAGTATTTTTAGGAATAGTGCTATTTAGTCCTGTTTAGCTTTCAGTTTAACAGTCTAGGAACCCCATCACTGGTTAAAATATGCCACCTTATTTAATTATTTTATTTATTTTATTAAATTTATATACGCCCTACTCCCGAAGGACTCAGGGCGGTGAACAGCCAAAAAATAAAACACATAGATTCTATTCTATGCGCATGCCCAAGATGGCGACGGTTGCCGAGATCGCAGCTTGAGGATGGGGACTGATCTACCCTTTGGGGTCTTTTGGGGGTCGTTGTGAAGATCTACGACCCCAGGCCCGGTTAGGAGAACTCTCTGCCTACACGGAGAGGGTCTTTTCCCCTCCGGATATTGAGGTTGGGCAGAGAGAGAGAGCGTCGGGCGATGTCGGGAGCAGCGGACTGCATCAGCTGGGCGTCGGCAGCGTTTTCCTCCAGCTGGAGCCCACGTGGGCGTCTGAATCGGCATGGCGTCGTTTTTGCCTGGGGCGCTGCTGTACGGCGATTTCCCAGGCTGAGGGGTTGCCCGGAGTGCTGGGGGAGTTGCCGGATTTCCCAGAAGATCTTTGGGACGCTGCCAGTCCTTTTGGGTGTTACGGCGGCGATGGCATGACGACGGCAGCTGTGATGGCAGTCCAGAGGGCCTGGCAGGGAGGAGACACCCCCCCCCAGGAAGCTGGGGATGGGGGGGGCAACGAGGCCGGGGGATCATCTGCCTTTTGGGTTGGGCGAGGACCTGGCATGAGACGCTTTTAGACCTTGGGAGGCCTCCATTGCTTATGTGGGGGCTGGAGGGGGGGCTAGAGATAACTGCCCCTGCTTCTCCCCAATGCTTCTCTGCCGGGACTATGCCCACCTTGGATTGTCGGCTAGCTCACTGACTCACTTGACGCCAAGTTTATCTGAATGGGGGCTGGTACATGGCTCCATCCCATCAGCTGAGAGGGCTGGGCTCAGTTAAACCACCGTGAGAGGGTGGCTCTGACGTCGGGGCCCTAGGGGCTGAACTGGGATGATATCGAATTTCTTGCATCTGCCAGCAGAGGGGACTTGACCATCGGACCAACCGCCGTGAGAGGGCGGTTTTTGGACCTGAGCCCCAGGTGCTGTGCTGTCTGCATTGGTTCATTGCTCCCATCTCACCACAAGAGGGGGTCAACTGGTTGATCGGACCACCGTGAGAGGGTGGTTGGGTCTATCCCCCCCCCTTGGACTGTGGTCGACCTGGAACCTGAATTCATCCTCTGTTGTGAGGGGACAGTGGACCTGGTCTTGTTGAAAATGCTTTTGAGACTCCCATTCCATGTCTCTCCCCTGGACTTCTATATGGACCCCTAGGATATGGTTGCTCCCATCCTCTGTGGTCAAGATGTATTCCGCAGCGGAGCTTCTTGGTCTGCGAGACTCCCACTTCTTGCAGGCTTGGCCCTCCACTCTATTGAGGGCCTACCTCGATGACGGGCTTTGGAACCCCGAGAGGTAGCATGTCGCAAAGAGGGGGGTTGTGGGGTTTTTTAAAATTGTCTTTTTGTAATCTTTTAAGGGGTTTAGGGCGGGGGGTGGGGAGGGAGGGGCATAGGTCAGGCTTGTTACAGGGGCATGGAACGGAAGGCGGGGAGCGGGGTGTGGAGGAGCTCAGTGCTGGTGGGGTGGCGGGCAATTCCATCAGGACCGTGGTTGGGAGGGGCAGATATGGCGGGAGTAGGGGGCCACATCAGGTGGTGGGGGCACGCACCCGCTATCTCCAAGCGGTGGCATGCCTCGGCCTCCATGACTCTTCTCGTCTCCTCGGCTGTCCAGAGTCTCAGAGCCCAGGCCTTAGACTGATGCTGTGCAACGCCAGGTTCGTGGTTAATAAGGCCCCCCTCATTTGTGAGCATTGTGAGTTCCTGAAACTGTGGCTCACGACTCGGCTGAAGATCTGGTGGCTGCCTGGGATAGGATGGCCGCCGGTGGTCTGGACCGAGTCGTGCCTTTGCGGACTCTGACCCGACACCGAACCTGCCCAGCCCCTTGGTTTTTCGAGGAGCTGAGGGAGATGAAGCGCTGGAAAAGACGCCTAGAGAGCGGTTGGAGGGCTAGTCACTCCGAATCCGACCAAACACTAGTTAGGTCTCATATTAAGACCTATGTAGTAGCGATAAAAGCGGCAAAGCGTAACCACTTTTCCGCTCTTATTGCATCGGCAGATAACCGCCCAGCCGCCTTGTTTAGGGTGACTCGCTCCCTCCTACATCAGGGAGCGTGGGAAGACCCCTTGCAAGGGCAGGCTGAGGATTTTGCACATTATCTGCACGATAAAATCGCTCAGATTCGGGAAGGCTTGGACTCTGACTGGGTAGATCCCGGCGGGGTGACTGAGGCTGGTCTTGAGAATGTTACCTGGGATGAGTTCGACCCTGTGACTCCTGAGGACGTGGACAGGATTCTGGGGAGGTTAAACGCAACCACATGTTTATTGGACCCGTGCCCCTCCTGGCTGGTACTGGCCACCTGGGAGGTAACACGAGGCTGGCTCCAGAGGATTATAAATGCTTCTCTGAGTGAGGGTTTCTTGCCTCCCGCCTTGAAAGAGGCGGTGGTGAGGCCCCTCCTCAAGAAGCCTTCTCTGGACCCGGCCGTTTTGGCAAACTACCATCCAGTCTCCAACCTTCGCTTTGTTGCGAAGGTTGTGGAGAGTGTGGTTGCGCGACAGCTCCCACAGTACCTGGATGAAACCGTCTATCTAGATCTTCAGGCCTGGGTACAGCACGGAGACGGCATTGGTCGCATTGGTGGATGATCTCTGGAGGGCTCGGGACAGGGGTTGTTCCTCTGTTCTGGTCCTGTTAGACCTCTCAGTGGCTTTTGATACCATCGACCATGGTATCATGCTACGCCGGCTGAAGGGATTGGGGGTGGGAGGCACCGTGTTGCGGTGGTTCTCCTCCTATCTCTCTGACCGGTCTCAGTCTGTGTTGGCAGGGGGGCAGAGGTCGACCTCGAGGCGCCTTGCTTGCGGGGTGCCGCAAGGGTCGGTCCTCTCGCCGCTCCTGTTCAACATTTATGTGAAGCCGCTGGGTGACATCATCCGTGGTTTTGGGGTGCGATGCCATCTGTACGCTGATGATACTGAGCTGTACATCTCCACCCCAGACCACCCCAATGATGCCCTCAAAGTGATGTCCCTGTGTCTGGAGGCCGTGCGGGTCTGGATGGGGAGGAACAGGCTTCGGCTCAACCCTTCCAAGACCGAGTGGCTGTGGATGCCGGCATCCCGGTATAGCCAGCTGGTGCCATCGCTGGCTATTGGGGGCGAGTCACTGACCCCCACAGAGGGGGCTCGCAACTTGGGCGTCCTCCTGGACACATGGCTGTCTTTAGAAGAGCATATGACGGCCGTGGCCAGGGGGGCTTTTTATCAGGTTCGCCTGATACGCCAGTTGCGCCCCTTTCTGGATCGGGACTCCTTGTGCACAGTCACTCATGCCTTGGTCACGTCACGCCTGGACTACTGCAACGCTCTCTACATGGGGCTCCCCCTGAGGAGCACCCGGAGGCTCCAGCTGGTGCAGAATGCGG